ATAAACTCATAATTTTATTAGATTAAAATCATAATAGTACGAGATTAAAGTTGTAATTTGACGACAATAAAGTCATAATTTTACAAGAATACAGTAAAGCCACAATTTTAGGAGATTAAAATCATAATAGTACGAGATTAAAGTTGTAATTTGACGACAATAAAGTCATAATTTTACAAGAATACAGTAAAGCCACAATTTTAGGAGATTAAAATCATAATATTAAGACTTTATTCTCATATTAGGGCTTTATTCTTGTAAAGTTATGACTTTATTCTGATAATATTATGACTTTATTGTTGTAATAATAATAATAAAACTCGTTGTGTGGTTCTAATACTCCATCGTACAGAAGAACCAGGGTGTTCAGGTCAGGGTCAGGATAGAAAATTACAAAAAAATGAATGGAAGTCAATCCATGGTCCCCACAAGGATAGAGACATAGTAGGTGTGTGTGTGAGTGTGTGTGTGTGTGTGTGTGTGTGTGCGTGCGTGCCCTCACAGCTCTCCTCTTGGGTCTCAGCAGAGGCGTGTTCCTGTCCACTTCCTGTTTCCTGCTGCAGGTGTAACACAGGTGTTTACCTGCAGTGTCCCTCCTCCAGAGGGGGGCGCTGTCCCCCCCGCAGCTCACACACACTCTCCTCTCTGCACAAACACAACAACACACGGCGCCATGGCGTTGGAGGGCGGGTCCAATGTGTCAGCCAATCAGAGACTCAGCACTAACCTGACACACAAACACTCACCTGGTGAACACCTGTCAGGTGACGTCCAATCACCTGCTGAGGAGGAGGGGGGTGCTGAGGACAGCAGGAAGTCAGGGGGAGGAGTCAGAGTGTGATGCCCATATAAGGCAGAGGAAACAGGAGGCGGGCTGTAGCTGAATGACTGACAGCTGAGACCATCCAACCAGGGAGAAGGAGAGAGGAACTGTGGGCGGGCTTCACCAGACAGATAACATGATTGGAGGAAAGAGTCTGAAGGGGCGGAGCTAACCTGGACCGTCTGAAATAAAGAATTAACCTTTTATTAATCTAAAATCTGACACCAGGTCAAACATCAGAACTATTTGTGTTATTTAAAGGTTTTATTCACTGTTAAACATAAACTTTAAACTTTTTATACTTGGATACATTTAAATATTTAATAAAACATGTTCATCTGAACAGAATGACAAATCTGAAGGTTTGGATCTGATTAAAGACCGACCCATCGGGTCAACTTCCAGAACCCTGTAAAAACAAACTGATCCTGAACARGAAAAATAAAACATTTGATCTGATTCATTAAAACAGGTTCTGACCTTCCTGCTGAAACCTGCAGATGCCTCACACCTGGTGACCGAGGACCAATCAGCTGCTGCCAAATAATCTGACATCTTCTCTTCGGACAGGAAGGAGACAGAGTGAGACCTCGCTCTGATCAGAGGATCTCTGATAAACAATAATAAACAAATAAAAAGAAAAAACTCACAGAGACCGAAGAGCTGCTCAGAGTCAGAGGTTCAGTCTGTCTGCTGCGAGGAAGAGGAGGAGGAGGAGGAGGAGGGACACCAGGAGGAAGAGGAGGACTCTGACTCCTCCCACTAACACCAGCAGCTTTAAAGAGTCTGTGACATGCCTCAAGTACAAAGTCAAAGAAAACATCTTTATAATTAAGAAAGTTCCCATTTTATCCCATAACTGCAGATTTTCTTTTGAACTTGGCTCAGCCAAAGTGAAACAGGAAGTGACATCACAGGGGAAGTCTTTAACAAATAAAACTCTGCTCTTTGTTTATTGAAACATGATTTAAACTCTGACTCTTCATCTCTGATAGACTCAAACATCAGACTCTTCTCTGCAGTCTGTGTTGTAGCACCGCTCTGTTTACCTGCAGACATTCCCCTCTGACATCACTTCCTGTTTCTTTACAGGAAAATATCTGAACAACTGTTCATGTCAGTGACATGAAATTTATTTTGAAATATTTTATCAACGTCCTCTTTCTAAAAATGCATTCATAAGTATTACAAAGATCTGACGTCACGGGCACTTTAAGATCATCAAATTCACTAAAAACTAAAATCTGAAGAAATAAAAATGTACAACCTGATAAACTTTTATTTTGAAAACTGAAAGAGTTCAGCTTCCTGTCTGCTGGAAGAGTTCTGGTTGGATCCATAAAGACAACAAAGTCAAGGTGTAACATCATCTTCATCATGGTGATGATGATGATGAAGAAGAAGAAGAAGAAGAAGAAGATGATGATGATGATGATGATGATGATGATGACGATGATGATGATGATGATGACGATGATGATGATGATGATGATGACGATGATGATGATGATGATGATGATGACGATGATGATGACGATGATGATGATGATGATGATGATGATGATGATGGTGGTGAAGATGTCTTCAGTCAGTTCAGAGACAGGAGGCGTGAGGCCGCAGCAGCTCAGGGTCCACCACGCTGTTCTGCAGGGGCAGGTCCACTGAGAAGTCGGTGGGCGGAGCCTGCAGGCGCTGGCGGGGGGGTCGGCCCCCCCTGTAAGGGATGGGCAGCTCTGAGTGGTGAGCAGGAAGAGGAGAGGTGAAGAAGTACGGATGAAGAAGAGCCTGGAGGAACCAGAACAACAAATTAAAAACATCTAGACCTGGTTCTGGTCTAATCTAGACCTGGTTCTGGTCTAATCTAGACCTGCTTCTGGGCTCCTCTGGACCTGGTTCTGGTCTAATCTAGACCTGGTTCTGGTCTAATCTAGACCTGCTTCTGGGCTCCTCTGGACCTGGTTCTGGTCTAATCTAGACCTGGTTCTGGTCTAATCTAGACCTGCTTCTGGTCTCCTCTAGACCTGGTTCTGGTCTAATCTAGACCTGGTTCTGGTCTAATCTAGACCTGGTTCTGGTCTCCTCTAGACCTGGTTCTGGTCTAATCTAGACCTGGTTCTGGTCTAATCTAGACCTGGTTCTGGGCTCCTCTAGACCTGGTTCTGGTCTAATCTAGACCTGGTTCTGGTCTAATCTAGACCTGGTTCTGGTCTAATCTAGACCTGGTTCTGGTCTAGACCTGGTTCTGGTCTAATCTAGACCTGGTTCTGGTCTAATCTAGACCTGGTTCTGGTCTAATCTAGACCTGGTTCTGGTCTAGACCTGGTTCTGGTCTAATCTAGACCTGGTTCTGGTCTAATCTAGACCTGGTTCTGGTCTAATCTAGACCTGGTTCTGGTCTCCTACCTGGGTGGCAGAGCAGCGCTGTCTGGACGGGTACACCAGGAACCTGTAGAGCAGGTGGACGGCCTGAGGGGAGGAGTCAGGAACGATCTCCTCCAATGGGATGGCAGGATTCTCCTTGAATGTGATTTTATTGTAGTCTGGCAGGTCCAACATCTCCTGAGGACAGAGAGGACAGAGAGGACA